GAAGCCAGCAAAAATTGTGTCCATAGTCACGGTGAACCCTAGATTACCAGCTGTGCAAACATATCAACCCTATGTATATCACCCAGTCCTTCGCACCCAATGCTATCAACAGGTGGACTAGGAGGAGAAAAGCCACAAATCAATAATATATCTCAAACCCGTGAAACCCTCTCTTCTCCAAATTTATTCTTATCCCATTTCTCGTGTTATTTAGGTACCTCCGGATAAGACACGGAACAATAAAAAAAGAAAAAGCAAAAGTACCACAAATTGGCTTGTAAGATGTTATCAATACATATTCTCTTTAACCGCTTAGCTTCCATATCCGCCCTTTCTGCCTACCAAAGCTCAAATGACTACGCGATCCGCCACGTTTTGAACCAAGCTAGATGCGCCCATTTCAAACTTGAGCCCTCCATGCCAAACACAATGTCACGGAAAAGAACAAATAACCCAATAACAACTGCATAAAACACTACATAAATTGCCCACTCGACCGAACGGCGCAATTTCTGCGTCAACCAATTCATGCAGAAGCCCAAGGATAATATCGTGAAATACAGCGCGGGATAATAATGGTGCACGTAAGTTACGCGTGCCATTGCGACGAAGGGAAAGTAATGCAGGAACCAGCCTATCGCCGGGTACAGGCCGGAGTAGTAGATGTGGTCCATATCCACAAGGCTGAGCTCGTCGTAGCCGCGCTGCCAGCGGATTAGATACCACGCGAGGATTACGCCGAGAACGCAGAGGCTAAGGGTGCCGCCCCAGTAGACGAATGGGTTGCCTAGGAGGAAGTACTTGATAGTGTCGTTGTCCCAGGAGCACATGCGGAGACCAACATGAAGGATTGGCCATTGCCAGAATTGCGATGCGAGGTCATCTTGTTTGTCTGGGTCGGGGACAAGTGCGTTGTTTGAGGTCATCATTGCGACATTGAGGTGGATGAAGTCTTTTAGGAAGGGCGATTTGTAGGAACCGGGATCACCGGGGGGCACTAAAAAATAGGGAATCATAAATTTACCGACCTCTGAACCGAAAAAAGGATGGGTTAAAAAAGCTTACATCTCTCGTTAATATGACTCTCGACATTCCAGTGAGTATAGACGTCCCGGGGATTATTTTGCTTAACGCAGGTGGTTTCAATCTGCTTGAATCCCCACTGTGGGAGATTGACGGTGCCAGCGCGAAGGTAACAACCGAGCACAGCGTGTCTAAGACGGAACGAAGTTGTCAAAGTTCGAATATTCGACCTGTCTTTAGACGCGACATCATCGACTACCTCAACGCGCCAGTGATCTTTTTCATCTCCTACTGTCGTATTTCCGTAGCAAGATACTTCGTAGTCACTTTTCGTTACCGGTGCAGATACGGCGTGCGAATGTAGATTGCGACCAGTTTGGGCATGGATGAGCCGGATGACATCCTTGTCACCAACAAATTTCAAGTCACCATCCGGGTTGAAATCAGGTTCCTGGCGATTCGGATAAAAAAACCAGTCATTGTTCGAGTCCTTATGGTGGTAACATGTAACTTGCTGCTGAGTTGACCCTTCCGGGTACGTTTGAACGTGTGAGTGGAGGAGACCGCCGCCATATCCCATATTTTTTAGGGTGGCTTTAGATCCTATCGCGATTTCAAGTGGGCTATCCTTTCCAACTGTTGTGCCTTTCAGGTTAGCCTGGAAAAGTGAGCTCATCTGTGCATCGCCGGGTCCGGAGTTTTCGAGGATATGGAAGTGCAGGTAGAACGAAAATAAGTAGACAAGTAGAGGAATGATGATCAATCCCATAACTCTGGCGGCAAGGTGCTCTGCAAGAACGACCTGTTAATGAACATATAAGTTAGTTTTATTTCAGGTGATTTGAAACAAATATCACCCAAGTAAACTGAATGGAACTCTCCACCTACCTTGGGAATTTTGAGATCGCCAAATTTGTTCCAGAGGTCTTCAGCGGTATACAGTCCGACCAATGCAGTGACGAAGAATCCCACCCATTTAACACTACAGACACAACCAATGCTTATCCCAGTCAATATGAGCCAGGTGAACCATTCCAGTGAAAAACTTTTATTTTGCAGGCGGTGGAATCGGGCCCAGCACAGGGTAGTCGTGAAAGTAAAACATAACAGCATCGAATCAAGGAGAATGAACCTGGATATGGTTGCATAAGAGTTCTCGCACAGAACCATCAGAGTGACCAACCAGACAGCCGGGCGACGAAAATCCAGTTCGCGAGCGGTGAAGTAAGCCAGAGGAACACAAACAGCTCCGAAAAAAGAATTGAACAGGCGCATGAAAGTGTAGTTAAGCTCCGGTGGGTATTTCTCTCCAGATTTGAATTCAAACGAGCCATTGTAGCCTGCAAGGTATCCCGAGAGTCCCACCAGCATTTTCCCTAGAGGCGGATGTACATCGAAATAGAACTCCCGCTTCAAGTAATGGGAGCCGAATTTGCCGAAGCTATTGGCGTTTACATGGTTGGTTAGCAGGAGGATCGGCCGCGGCCCCGTGTCATGGTTCTATCCTTCCCCTCCTCTCCCAACCAGCATTTGGGGCTCTGGATGAACTTACTGAGCCTCATCCCAAGTAACAATATCTGAAATACCAATACGCCACATTCGCGTGAAGAAGGAAAATGCAGTGAATACCAGTGGAGCAATAATAAATTCCCACTCATCGAGCACATCGATGAACGTAGACTATAGCGGGGAAGACGGAGAAAAGGGTTAATTGGATGACACAGAATATGGTTGCAGTGAACGCCTCCAAGAGTAACTAAAGGCATGGACAATCTAAGAATTTCATTTACAATACCTTGCGTGGCGCTTGTTTTTTCTTTTCGTCAGCTTCAAGCGGAATGTTTCTCTTAACCTCTCTGCCATCTCTCTCCGGACCGGGGACGTTTCTTCGACGAAGATCAGGGTTCCGGTGAGGTGCCAGTAGCCGTGGCAATCTCGTGGGCTTCCATGGGGGGGAATCGGAGCCAGGCTAAGACAAGAATAATGAGGAGGAAAGATTATCATAAAAAGGAGATGCTGGATCTCTCAAGTCAAGACCTATTTGAACTTTTCCCAACTGTAGGCAGTACAC